AGAGGCACAGGTCAGTGATGTTGAATCTTTCAGGAAAAGAGGCACAGGTCAGTGATGTTGAATCTTTCAGGAAAAGAGGCACAGGTCAGTGATGTCAAATGCTGCTGAAACAAGAAGATAAGACCTCAGAGTGATGATAGGACTTAGCAAAAAGGATGCCGTTGCTGACCTGGGTTAAAAAATAAATGGGTGGGAAGGGCCAGGTTACCTGAATGAGCAGTTAGAAGTCTTCTCTACCTGTGCACCTGTCATTTATTTTATATATATGAACTTGAGTCCTATGTGGGTATGTGTGAAAATAGTGAGTGCGCCTGAAGTAACTCACTGCTTGTATTTCTTTAAAGCTAGAACTGGATGGTGAGCGCGTAGAATTGCCTAACTTGGAAGGTATCATAGTTCTGAACATTGGCTACTGGGGCGGTGGCTGCAGACTGTGGGAAGGGATGGGAGATGAGACGTACCCTCTGGCCCGGTACGTACTTTACGGTTGACTTTATGTTACTGTTGTCTTTAAAGCAGTCTGTTTCTCTTTATAAATTTTAGACATTTTCCCCTCAAATTTTCTCTTTTATTTACTGTTACAAATTGTAGTAAGTTGGTGGTTTACCTATGTTTAAAAGTTAATGGCTGATTTTTATTGCATCATTTAATCCATATTTCCTGTTTCTGATTTTAGGCATGATGATGGTTTACTAGAAGTCGTAGGCGTATATGGATCTTTCCACTGTGCCCAAATTCAAGTAAAATTGGCCAATCCTTTCCGAATAGGACAAGCGCATACAGTGCGGGTAGGCGAAATACTGCCGTTTCTAAACAGTTGATAATTGTCGAAAAAAATAACGTGCTGTATTATAGTTCTCCTTATCACTAGCTTACATCCCATGCTATTGGGTAAGAAACAGGAAATATGCCCTTAATTCAGTTGAAGAAATTAAACATTGACTAGAAAAGGATCCCTTAAGCTATTTTTTTTTTTTAAAGATTTATTTATTTGTACATACAGAACTGGGGTACAGGCCAGAAGCTCAGGGGCGGCGAGAGGCTTCACCAGAGACAGAGTGGGGAACAGAACAGGCAGATCGACGAAGTACACTGCTGAGGGGAGCAGCGGGCGGGTCAGGAGAGGTCTGCCACGCCATGTGGTCACCTCCAGGGCAGGCGGGAATCGAACTCATGCGGAAGCGGTTTTAGATTCTCAGTGCTGTGCTTTAACCCGCAGCGCCACCAGGGAGGGCCCCTTAAGCTATTTTTTTAAAGATTTATTTATTTATGCATACAGAACTGGGGTACAGGCCAGGGGAGAGGTTCGGGGGATGAGATGATTCACCAGAGACAGAGCAGGGAGCGGAACAGGGAGATTGACCAAGTTCACTGCTCAGGGGAGCAGCAGGCAGATCAGGAGAAGTCTGTCAGCCATGTGGGTCAGCTCCGGGGTGGGGGTCAAACTCGCACTGAAGCAGCCGCAGCTCACTTGCAGTGCTGTACTCTAACCCACTGTGCCACGGGGGAGCGCCCCTTAAACTATTGATGAGTAAAGATGTAGTAAGATGTACTTTCTAAGAATGAAATAAATGTTATAAATCCCTCAGAAGGGGTAAGAGATTGTGGGTGAGATTAAGGAAGACCTTTCTGAACATAGCGGGACTGACTATCTTCTAATCACTTGCTCCCCAATGCCAGCTGATTTTGAAGTGCTCACTGATGCCAATGCAGGTGGATGGGGAGCCGTGGGCCCAAGGGCCCTGCACTGTCACCATAACCCATAAGACACACGCACTGATGTTATATTTCTCTGGAGAACAAACGGACGATGACATCTCTAGTACTTCAGATCAAGAGGACTTAAAGGAAACTGATGGATGAAGAAATGAAAACTTACGATAGAATTCTCACTAACAAGTAGTCATATTCATTCAAAAGTAGAAATTCTCAGTCTTTAATCTTAAGTTGGCCAGTAATATATGAGTGTGCATTCATGTAAATAGCATTCCCACAACAGCCAAACTTCCAGTTGTTTAGAAATGTCTGTTCTTTTTTCAGCAAAACTCTGTCGTCATATAGGACTAACCTTTAAAGTGTTACTTGTAGGTGAAGTCGTTTCCCTGGCTTTGGGAGTGTACATCTCTCTGAAGTATGCATCTCACTCCTTGCTCTCGAACCAGGCATTTGATAGACACATCATACATCTACAAGGTGAGGTGGAGGGTCAGTTCCATCTTCATTTTTAACATGGTGACACCACAACATTTAAAGGCTGAACTCACTCCTTTGAAAGAGCCCAGCATGGCCAGCTGGGCGCCCGCCTGTGGCTGCCTCCTGAGAGCTCCTGCAGCCCAGCTCTGAGTCCACTCATAAGTGTCTGTTCCAAGAAGCCCTAACAAGAGAAATGTAAAAAAAAAAAAAACCATCAAGATTTTTAAATTTTTATTTTTGGAGCATTTTTAGACCTCCAAATGTTGTTTGGTTTACTGTGTTCATGATAGTCAGCATCTTGTGCCTGACCTACCAATCACCCTAGGAGAACACAGAGGCGAGCTGGTAAAAACCAGTATTCAGAGCACTGAAGAAAATGTACCCGTCAGATGACTAGTTTCCTCATCACTAATTCACCAGATTAATTGCTTAAAAAAGATGAGTACTGATTGATGACATTTAAAACTTTAGTGGTCTGGCATAATACAGAACTACTTCACAAAATTTCCCCTGAGGGAAAGGGAAGCGACTCCTCTGCTAAAATGTTTATATCGTATTTATTTTAAAATGAGATATATATTTTTTTTACTTATTTATTATCTTTATTGTGGTAAACCTGTGTTTACAGTTTGCAGTGTATGGTTTTATTTAATAAGTCAAATGGATCATAGATACTCTGTGAGTCAAAATCAGCTAGAAATGAAACCCACTGGCTGCAGATTAAAACCCATAGTAATTCTGACAGATGTATTATCCAAATGTAGTCACTTCTTCAGAAATACTCAATATATTTTTAAAGAGGCATGAAGTATTTTTACAAAGAGAGGGAGTGAAAGCACTGGCAAACTTCTAGAAGAATCGCCTCCTTGTAGCTGTCCCTCAATTGCCAAAAACTTACTGAAAGGCTAGTCTCATCATTCCCCACTAGAGGGTGCTCTACTGTCGTTAGCCATGACTCCATCAGGTCCTGTGGACAGGCTGACCCGTGGGGTTGATATCCAACCTGTGTTTTTTCTGACCAGTGGTCCCTTTGTGGCCCTGGTGGTCTGTCAGAAGGTAAATCCCTGAAGGACTTGAATGTATTCCCCAAAACATCATTAGCTCCCCATAACATCTATTATAAATCTGTAATTCACAAATTGCCATAAATACTGATTTTATTCACCTTCAGACTCAAATCTTGTTTTGAGGAACAACTCAGTAATTTATACAGTAGTCAGTACATTATAAAAAATATATCTATTTTGCTTCAGTTCTTCTAGATCTCACCGGAAATGCCAGTTCTAGGACTGAAAGAGTCTGTGGACAGACCTGTTCCATGTCTTTTCCTTACTCAGCTCACCTGTCACAGGCAGTGCTCTGTGCGCTGGGGGAGTTGCATAGGTGTCTTCTGGGGTGGATCATGTTTTGAAGATAATGAGTTTAATTCCTTAATTAATAGTTAAAATTGTTACATATACCACATTTTATAAATATATTGTTAAACTCGCCTTGTTTTAGGCCATATTTTATCTAATTCATTGTGCTGATTATAGAATCAAAGTAAGTAGTTAATATCAGAATAATCAAAAATCTATATATTTGCTTTTTTTTAAATTGTTGAGACTAGCCTAAGCATAAGGTTACTTTGGATTAAAAAACAGATTTATATTCAGTACCCTCATTTACTTAAATTTTTTTGTAGGTAAATTTTTTTCCCTACTGACCCTTAGTGAGGTTTTTCTGTGCCTATTCACTCTTTATACTTTATTTTTACTTAGGAAAGTCACTTCAGAATACTATCATCATAAAACATTTCTTATTTTAACAAAATTCACCTTTTGAGGCACATTTACCCAGCACTTCAAATAAGTGTATAGGCATGTGACTTGTTTCAAGTAAGTTCAATTTATAAGACATGTTTGCAAGTTTTATGTTAGAATATCATCTGGTTATATTTATAAGGATTCTACACTTTAAAAAAACATAACTTGCTACAAGATTTTCTTATTCCATTCTGAATTGTCTTGATTTAAAAATAAATTCTGCATTCTCAGGAAGATATACATGAGGTATCTCCGTGTCTGTTTCAGATTTCAGATTTCAGAAGTATATCCTGTCCTAATATATTCCTAACTCCATGTAAACTTAGTGGCTTAACTACTGAATACCTGGCAGCTCTCTCAAATCCCATAAAAAGATGTTAATACCTTTCAGTGCTTTTATTGTATTTAATAGAAATCAAACTGACTTGTGTTTTAGAATACAGGTTATCTGGTAAGATTACATGATCTTAAATGTGTTTTAGGTTTTTTGCAACAATTAGCTGTGAACTCTTAATATAGCTAATGTTTATAAAAATTTGATAGTCAGAATTATTTATTTTTATTTTTCAGGGTGTCTCAAAAAGTGTAGTATTTGCTTTTTTGAAATACATTTGCCTACCTAGAACTATAAAATATACTGTGATTCAGAAATGGTAGTCTGTTGTGCTGTAAAAATGAACACTACCAGCATGTCAAAAGAAAAGTAGTTTGCATTTGTAATATAAAGTAAAATTGTATTTACTGTATATTATGGAATTTTAAATTTGCACTAACTAGAAAACTATAATTGGTATATTAATTTGCATATTCATGTCGATCCGAATACATACTTTGTACTTGTTCACCTGAAAAGGTCGACAGAATGGGTGATCATTTTTTGTGGTTTTTCCTCAAAGGGATAGTATTGATGCAAGAACCAGCACTTTGTAGTCAGGACTTTTTTATTTCTACTTAATTGGGTTCAGTGGAATGTAGGTAGATGCACTAAAAAAAAAAATTAGAAATTTTAAAAGAAAAAATAGTTAATGAAAGTGTTTTCCCTAACCCAAATGAAAGTGCTTTCCCAACAGCCTCTTGGGAAAGGTTTTGCTTTTCTTTTAAAGGTCTTGTTTTTAAAAGATATACCCCCCCGCTTCCTTTCTTAAATTCCCCGTTAAGGCCCATTTCCTGTTTTTCAAAATATGATCTGCAGGCTACCCTGAGTTATGGATGCCTAAGCTCAGCCTGGGCTTCGTGAGCAGTCCGGCTGGACACACTTCTCTGCTTCTATCAGCACGCGCCCAGGCAGCAAGGATGAGACATTTTAGGCACTGGCCTGAGCTCGTGTTCCGTGAGGGCGTGGGTCCAGGGGCCATTGCTCTAGTGACCGCACCTGCTGGGTTTTATACTGCTTTTTATATATTCAAGCACCTTGTGTTTTTTGGTGAGGAAAACATTTCAGAGGTCACTATGGCAGCTTGGAATATGTCACTTGGCTACTTTACAGGTTTTAACGGCATTTTAGATTGTTGAATAGTAAAGTACTGACTTAGCCTCTGTCCCTTGTGTTTCTAGTCTTTGTAAAGTAGGAAGCAGCTAGTTTAATTCACTTTAGCTATGTAAATACAAATACACACAGGCATTCACCCCCATGGCCCGATGGTGGTCAGCCCATGAGTCTGGCAGGTCTCCAGAAGCTACATACCCAGCTTGTGGAGAGAGAATCAGAAAATGTCGCCCTCTGATACAGAAGCTCAGGAACCATGAGCGGAGTGATTGTGCTTTGTCCTAGAGAAAAACACAAGGGAGTCCCTGCCTGGCGTCACCTCCCCTCAGAGACACAGAATGTTGCAAAGGGGGATCTGGAAAGGAACTTTGCTTTGCCTGGTCCTCTGACACTGTCCAGGCAAAGGGGCTTCCTGACCACAGGAGGAGCTGTTCTGAGTCAAGTCCTAGAGCGGGAGGTAGAGTGCTGTGCGTGGCTGGGTGACTGGCATTCGCTCTCATTCCACAGTCTGGCCTCTGCCAGGAGTCTCTCCAGTGTGATCTGCTTACACGAGCCCTGTTGGAAATGGCACTCTGGTTTCTAATTCGGTTCTGTACAAGTATAGAGCAACCTGGGTCCTTGACCCTGTTACTCAGGTGCGTGAGCTGATTGGATCGGCTCTTGAACCCCCAGTGCCAAAGACATTTGGGAGGTCTCCACTTGAAGTGGCCAGCTGGACTTGTGTACTTTAAAAAAATTATTTATTTATGCATATAAGAACTGGGGTACAGGCCAGAGGTACAGGAGCATGTGAGGATTCAACAGAGAGAGTGGGGAGTAGAACTAGCAGATACTTTGCTGAAAGACACTTCTGGAACTCACTGCTGAGGGGAGCAGCGGGCGGGCGAGATAGGAGAGATCCGCCTTGCTATGTGGGTCACCTCCCTGCCAGGGATCGAACTCCTGCTACAGTGGCTGGTGATAGCTTGATAGTGCTGACTCTAGTGCCTGTGCCTCCAGGCAGACCCTGACCTGTGCACTTTTTCCTGTCTCTGACCTCACTAGCATTGATGCCCAGCCTTATTTTGTTGTGTTGCATCCGCACCATGGTCAGTGCCTACAGACAGCCGTGTAATTTAAAGCATTTGATACGTGGAAGATGTTTGTTTTTATAATAAAAGAAGTGCAGCACTCAAAAAGTATGCCCTTGTGTTTGATTTGTTTTTTTTTTGTTTTTGTTTTTTTATGATGAAAAAAATAAATAGAAATAGCCAGCTGGAATCAGTTGGGGTTTTTTTTTTTTTAAAGATTTATTTATGCATTCAAGAACTGGGGTAAGGGCTAGAAGTATGTGGGGTGAGAAGATTCTCCAGACAGTGGGGAGCAGAGCAGGTAGATCAAGTGAAATACACTGCTGAGAGGAGCAGCAGGCAGGTCAAGGAGAGGGCAGCCATGCCAGTGGGTGGCCAGCCTGGAATCGAACTCATGCTGCAATGGCTTCGGAAAGCCTCATAGTGCTGCCCTTTAACCCGTTGCGCCACCAGGGAGGGCCCGGGACTCCTTTTAAATGATCCCAATTTTGTTGGGATCCAAAGCATCCTACTCAGGAGCCCATGAAACATAGCTGCCTTGCTCCATCAGGTCTGATCAGGATGTCGACCTTGACCACAGCAGTGACACCGAGCTTCCTCACAGCCTGTTTGATCTGGTGCTCGTTGGCCTTGACATCTGCCATGGACAAAGAGTGTTGTGCCTTCTGTCTTTGTGGAGGACTCAGCGGTCAGAGGGGACCTGATGATGGCACAGGGGTCAAGCTTGCTTCTGGGAGGCGTTTCCCCACACGCTGGGGGGCCTGCAGAGCCTCTGAAGGTGGTGATGTGTGGATCTCCTCCATGTGGCTGTAGTGCCCTCAGCACTGCTTGGCGCCCACAGCTTTGGGAGGGCGGAGGCCTCCTTTACTTTTGGTGCTGTCTTCATGAACAGGATTTCCGAAGCTGTTCTGATGGGCTTCTTGTGTTGCTTTTGACACAGAACATAAAAAGAGGTAAACTGTTGCCAGTGCATCTGTAACTTATGGGTACTGATCAGACGCATTTGAATGGCACTTAGAAGAAACATACAATTTTGTGGCTCCTGACAGCAGTAAATGGAATGAAATAAATGAAGTAAATTTGTCTCATTTTCAGGGTGCACAGGGGAAATGATACTTGCAATTCCTAAGTTGAAACCCCAGTCTCTGCCATTGGTTAACCGTGGGCAAGTTACTGGTTTTGCCTGAGCCTGTTTTCTTTGTGAGAGAAAGCCGTGGCAGGGCCTCCCTGGTGGCGCCGTGGGTTGAGCACAGCGCTGTGAAGCTGACTGCAGCCGCTGCAGCACGAGTTCAACCCCTGGCCAGGGAGCTGACCCACAGGGCACAGCAGAACTCTCCTGACCTGCCCGCTGCTCCCTTCAGCATTGTACTTCGTTGATCTGCCTGTTCTGCTTACCACTCCTGCACCTCTGGCCTGTACTCCAGTTCTTGTGTACATAAATAAATCTTTAAAAGCAAGCAAGCCGTGGCTGTGGGCACCCTGTGACCTGCGGCCACAAACCCAGCAGCGTGGAGAGGGGATGACAAGGGGCAGCGTGCTGGAGACGGTGGAGGAGAGTGCGCACCAAGGGTCAGCAAGCCTGGCGTGGACACAGCTCGTGTTTCTAGAAAACAGAAATCTAGGGTTTTCTTTATAAAATCTCATATGCAGGTTGGCAACCTATAGCCTCCCATAGGGTTATATGAGGACATAAAAGGGAGGAGAGAAGACAGCAAAAATCAACACTTCCTTCCATTTGAATTTTTATGAAGTCTTGTGGCTTTCTCAGCTGTTCTCTGGATTTCATACAACATTGTGACAATGTAAATTAGAACATTTTTATGCATTAAATATCAGAGGAGGGCTCCCCCTCCCCAGTGGCGCAGCGGGTAAAGCACAGCACTAAGAAGCTAAAGCCACTTCAGCATGAGTTCGATCCCCACCCGCCCCGGAGTTGACCCACATAATGTGGCAGACCTCTCCTGACCCGCCTGCTGCTCCCCTCAGCAGTGTACTTCATCACTGGGCCTGTTCTGCTCCCCACTCTGTCTCTGGTGAGTCCTCTCACCGCCCCTGCATCTCTGGCCTGTACCCCAGTTCTGTATGCACAAATATTTGAAAAATAAATATCATAGGAAGGAGAATCTTATACAGCTTCATTCTATCATCTTTAACCAGAAGTCCATGTTCACAGAAATTTTTGAAATATCTCATTTACTTGCCCTTTAAAGAACAGACAATGCCAAACACCATGTACCTTTTTCTTGATCAATGACTTTGATCAAGGCTTGGCTGTGAGAACCACTGAGCCTCAGGAGGACTCTGATGGACTAGCTGCCCCTGGCCATTCCATGGTCACTTTCCTAAAGGTCTCAACCCTAACCGGGCAGTGGGAGGTGTGCTGTATGCGTGTACTCATCTCGCCCCTACATTCAGTGAGGGGGACATGGACTTCTTTCCATAGACTAGCTCAGAATACCAACCCCAGGTCCTCACTCCTGCTGCTTTGTCATCATCAACTCACCACAGTAACAATATAAAAGTCAGAAGTAGGCAGGTATGCTCATGGAGCCAGGCACCAGGAATGCTGGGATATGATACAGATAGTTGGAGAAAGACCGCTTTGCATCACACCCCGCTTCCTTTAGACCCAGCTGCAGTTGAGTTTCTGTTTCCTTATAAACAAACATGCTCTGGTTGAAATGTTGCATGAGCCTTGCTTGAATTTGCAAAGAGGAGCTGTGACCTTTAATGTCTGATACCAGAACCTGTGACCATGATTCAGGTGATGGCGGTGGACTCTGCACCAGTGAAACACCCAGACAACACCCAGCCCTGGGGACTTAGGAAATAGTGGTTTTTTCACCTGTGAGTAGACAGAAAAACGTGAGGTAGTCTGTCTCTATACAGTATCTAATACACTTTGAAGTCAGTGAGCTTACCCTGGTCATTTTGCATTCAAATGAACATTTGCCGACCTTGTGAAGTTTCTTTTCAGTGTGCTATGGAACATTTCACTCTGCAGGGCACTGGCCTCCGCAGGTGGGGGCACTGGGGAGTCTGAAAAAAGAAGTTTCCACCTCTGTTCCCTGAGCCCTAGAGCAGGCCCACACACACCTCAGCCTGAGCTCAAGGACCGCCTGCCCTCCCCTTGCTGGCCCTCCCAGCTGACTGCCTGAGGTAGTCCACAGCTGACCGGCAGCCAACTCCATTCTCCTCTGGGTTTCATTTTCATGAAATGTCTCTGGGGTCTTTAAGTCTGTCTTACTCTTGTCCTGCCCATGAAAGGCTTTCCATTTTCCAGGAATTAAGTACAGAAATTAAGAGTACAAGGTTAGAAATGTTTACAGCTGTTTTAACAATTGACTATTGAATCATAAATTGTTGCTTATATTGTCTTTCTCATGTCACTTCCCCTAGTGGTATGTTATAAAAGCATCAAAACATATCTATTGGCAATGTGAAAATAAAACCCCAGGCCCTTCACCAGATAGTTGGAGAAAGACCGCTTTGCATCACACACCCGCTTCCTTTAGACCCAGCTGCAGTGAGTTTCTGTTTCCTTATAAACAAACATGCTCTGGCTGAAATGATGCATGAGCCTTGCTTGAATTTGGCAAGAGGAGCTGTGACCTTTAATGTCTGATACCAGAACCTGTGACCATGATTCAGGTGATGGCGGTGGACTCTGCACCAGTGAAACACCCAGACAACAGCGGGCAGGGGAGAGAAGCGAACAGAAAGAGCCCACTACATGGAGATAGTAAGAAGTGATGTAACTGGAACAGAGAATCTTAGACCTCTCTGGTCTGGAATTAAGTGACTTAACAGCATATTTGTGAAGCACTTGATCATTTAGAAAACAATGTTACCACAAGTGATTTCTCTCTAACAGGCAGCTGTCATTTTTGTTTCCCAAATGAGGGCAAAATGGTTCAGAAAGACGAGTGACATGCCAGTGTCACACAGCTGGGGGAGCAGCCCAGTCTTGTGACTCCAAAAGCTAGCAGGCAGAGGGAGGGATTGGAGAATTGTCAATGGTTTGCTTTTTCCACTGTTGCTCTTTGTGTCACTTCAAGGTTACGGCACCTGGTACATCTGGGACATCAGAGGGGGGTTAATACTCCAAGATTAGGGTCCTCCTAATGGTGGTGCAACAGGTTAAAGCACAGCACTGTGAAGCTGTCCGCAGCCCTGTAGCATGAGTCCAGTGCCTGGCCAGGGAGCTGACCCACATGGCATAAACCTCTTCTGTCTCCCCACTGCTCCCCTCAGCAGTGTACTTTGTCAGTCGGCCTATTCTGCTCCCAGCTGTCTGTGGTGAATCCTCTCACCTGTACCCAAGTTCTTGAATGCATAATAAATAAAAATACATTCACCTAACCTTGAATTTTTTCTCCCCAGAGTTTTGCTACTTATTTGAGGACAGAATATCAGCCCCGAGTTCTAGCTATGCAATTGGGAGTGTCCTCTTATTAAATATAGGTTAGTGCTCAGTTTTGGGGTCCCATCTTTTGGCTTCTTCCCTGTTCTCAGCAGCTGTGACCGCAGCCTTCATCATTGTGCCTCTGCATTTCAGCTGACAGGTTTTTTTCCATCTTTACATTGCAGGCAGCAGGGAGATGGGGAAGGAAGAGGGGTGAGGTTGTATTTAAAGAGGTCTCCTTCCTGGAAGCTTTCACCAACACCCCCAGTTACCATACATTGAGTGTGACTTAGTCACATGATTAAATGGGACCTACTTAGAATGGGCAAGATTGCGGGTCCCTGGGCACCCCTAGGTTGTGCACGAACAATCCCACACATGAGGACTCCACCCCGTGGTCTAATCACCCCCACAACTCCCACCTTCAACACCACATTGGGGGCTGGGTTTCAAAATGAATCTGGAGAAACACAAACATTTTGTTTATGGTACATGGTCTTCTTCAGATTAAGTAATTTACTAGAACTCAGACTCAAGAAAGTGTTGTATTCATGATTCTCGCTTTATTATAAAGGGTACAAATCAAAAGCAGCCCAATGAAGAGACACACAGAGCATCACCTAAGGGGGTCCCAGAGGCAGAACTTGGTTCCCTCCCCCTGTGGATCAGGGAGCGTCACCCTCTGGGTACAGCAATGCAGTTGGTAGAGTTTCAGTGTCCAGACTTTTTGGGGGCCTCCATGGGCAAGACTGACTGACCCACTAGCCACAAGATCTGACTCAGCCTCTAGCCCCTCTGGGTCAGGGTGGCTCTAAATACCATCCCCCTAACTCTTGCCTGTTCTTTCTGATGTCAACCCCCATTCTGAGACATCTCAACCCCCAGCCTAAATCCAAGGGACACACTTGGACTTGAGTGAGTCACTCCTGCCACTGTCGGATTCTGTGGGTACAGCACTAGCCCTCCAGGACCCAGGCCAATTCTTTTGTAACCGTCTCAAGTCTACACAGCCTGCAACTCCTAATGCAAACAAGGATCATACCCACTGAATGTGGTCCGCACTTGGCCAGGACTGTTTTTTGTCCTGTCTTTTTAAACATTTTATTATAGGCAATTCCCAACATACACAACAATAGAAAGAATAAGGTGAGCTCTGACATTCCCATCAATGCCTTGCTGATTAGCAGCAAATGGGATACCTTTCTCATACCGCCCCCACCTTCCCCTTGCCCCATCCTCAGAAGTTCTGCAGCAAAGCTCACAAGGTCTGGGAACCCTTTATCAAAAGCTTCTTGAGGGTGCCAAACCCATAGCAGGCCCCTAATCTGCAGATCTGCTGATGTCTCAACCCCTGGGTGCAGCTGGGAGGGGCGGTGGGGGGGTGGTTGGGGACACCATTTTCCACAAGCACTAGGACGCAAGAAAGAAACCAAACACTGCTTTGTTATAGTCAACCAGCCTTGGCCCTAGTATTTCCTAGGATTTCAAAAGATCTGTCTCTCAAGCCTGATTATCTTCTAAAGAATCAACTCTAAAAAAGAAAGATCAAGAAATAACAGCTCAAATAGCCCTAAATTAAAACCAATAGTGAGGAAAAGAGGAGAATAAGATTCTATATTAGTGCAAGTGACAGATCGCAGATTTACTTCAGAGTAAAAAAGATGAAAGTCAACCAGTCTTGACTAACACAAGAAATCACTTTGGTGTATCACACCAGCACTGACGCCTGGCTTTGAGATTGTAATTCTATGTCAGTGTTTCTGGGAATTTCCAATACTTCCCTAGACTAGGAGGGTTGTTCCCTCACACACTCTTAAGCAGCAGCTCCTCTATTACGGGATGGCAAGAGCGGTGAGTGGATTCATCCTCTTATCTTGCATCTGACTTACTCTACAGAATAAGTCAATGACTACAAAGGCCCCCCCTCCCCAACTCTCAGACTTTAGGGTTGGGGAACAACCTTGAATGGGAGGGGGAGGTGTAAGGTCAAGACAGCAGGGGTACAAGCCTCAATTCACATCTCCAGAGCGCCCTGCACCGGACTCAGCTTGGGGTACCTGCTTGCCTCGCTCATAAACAGAGGGGCCCACTGAGCTTCCCTACCTGAGCTACCTGCAAGGAAGCGCCCTCTCTACTGCCTGCCTCACTACGGAGAAGCCAGAACAGGACCTGGCTTCATCTTTGGCATTCTCTTCCTCTAAACCCTGCTGTTTCCCAAGTATGAACTGGCTTCAGACAGGGTTTTTATTTCATATCAATGAAGATGCTTCTGAACATCTCTAAAAGCAGAGAAGAATCTCTGAAGTTTTTTTCCACGTAGTAAAATAAGAAAACATTTAAAATCCACATTTCAGCTACTGCACGGATATCTTCCCTACAGACACACTCTCCCAAGGCAGAGAGAATCCTGATCAGAGCTGACCCAAATCAACACATCTGTTGGGAACACCAAGTGCCCTGACCTGGGCCTGACCTGAGCACCACTGAATCCAGCCCAAGGCCACGGAATTCCAGCCCAAGGCCACGGAATTCCAGCCCAGAAGCATTCAGTTCTCAAGCATGCATATGAAAATGTCTGGGGCCCCACTTTGCCAACACTGACATTTTCCATAACCCAAGTAGCCTGGCTTGAGCTTCTCTCTTGAGAAAGGCCACAGGTCAGGTCTCCCGCTTTGGGGATGGGAACTGATGTGCAGACATCAGAATAGAAGGAATTCTGGAAAATCCCAGCAATGCATTCACTCCTAAGGTTATGTTCACTCCACAGAAGCCTTGCAGGAAATATAACCCTTTGCACTATTTGGCTACTGTGTGTGCTAAGAGCTGTGGTCCTTAAAGTCCCTGACCTGCCTGCTTGGCCAATGCACATCTGGAAGACAGCAGTGGGGGCTGCTGACAGGCCCTGACTCAGGCGGAGTGACGAGCAACATGAGTCTACCTGAGGCCTGGGAGGAAAGTGGCTGTTGTCATGAAGGCCAAGAGGCCCTTTGGGTCACAGTCACCCCAGCAGGTAAATAACTGTAGTCCCTAGACCTGGCTGGCAGCTGCCTTGGATATCATGCTGAGCTGTCCAGGCTTGACCTTGGGTCACAGGGGCCTGCCTCCTCCTGCCAGTCCAGCATCTCCCTCACCATCCTGGGGAGGGGAGGTTGCCGCGGAGCGTCAGCCATAAGAAGCAAGATGCTCTAATAAGAGGGAAACCACATTTCCGCTAGGTCAGGTTAGGTTTCCACTTACCAGTGGAGCTCCTTACCCCAAAACCTAGGCTACTGGAAGGCTCCAGCGCAGAGCCAGTGTGGGGTCTCTGCTTGACTTTGAATCTTATTGGACCTGGGTCACCTTGACTTTGAATCATAACACAGTCTAGGCAAATTTGGCTCATGGTGTGAAATCTCAGACTGAAAAAGCTTCCTGCCTGAGTAACCATTTGGAAACCTCGGATGGGGTGGTGAGGGAGGCAGCTCAGGAAGAGGAGCTGGGCTATTTTCCCAGGAAGAAAAAGAACATGCTTCCTTGGGAAACTGGGTGGACCTGCTGGGAGAGGTGCCCTCCGAGCACAGGAAATGGCTGAGAGCCTCAACATACCCTCCACCTCCCCGCCCCTACATGCACGCACATGGAGTGGTGAATCACACTGAAATTCAACGATTTGCAATTTTTTAAATTCTAGAATTGAATAGCTACATAGCGAAATTTTCAAAGCAGGTGAGCTGCTCCAGAGAGCAAAGGGGCACGCACCCAAAAGCTCACCCCACAGCCCGAGAACAGCCTGCAGGGGTGCAGGTACAAGGGAGGGCCACAAGGACTTACCCCCAGGCCCCTGTCCCACCACCCAGCAGCCCGGAGAGCTACCAGAAGATGGGGGGAGGCGGGGCTGAGGTCGCCCTGTCCTGTGTACCAGGAAGTCAAAACACGTCCTGGCTCACAACACTGTCATCCCCACCCCTTTCTCAGTCGCCCTCCTCTTGGCCAGTCTTCCCCATCCTCTCACCTGCCAAGTCCCCTCCATTCTTTTGATTCTTGGGGACTGTCAGGGAAGTTCTCTAAGAGATTTGATTTGCAGTGAGTTCACTAAAGTCTTGGGGGCCCCATGGCAGTGCCAGCGGAGGGCCTGGCTACTTGGAGTTGCAGATGGAGAGCATGGTACCGGCCGAGAACACCCAGAAGGCCGGGTACACAGCTTCAGTAAAGTCCGCCCTGAACTTGTACATCAAGTAAATCTTGTCAGCGACCCCAAAGAAAATGACAAAACCGTGGTCGCAGTTGAGAAGGACACCGACCCGCGTGGTTTTGGTGGAGGGCAGGGTTTTCTCCACGTTGTTGTGCCAGGCAGAGATCTTGTTGTTGAACCACTCCACACACCAGGAAGCGCTGTTGCGGCCGAGCCTGCTCCCCGGGCCCTCCCTCTCCATGCTGCCGTAGCAGATGCCCACGCCACAGAAGCTGTTCTTCTGCAGCTCCACCTCCCAGTAGTAGATCCCCTTCTTGTAGCAGTGCAGGCCCATCACCTGAGAGGAGGACACGAACCTCTGGGGGTGCAGCCGGTAGTTCTGAGGGGTGTCAGCCACAGACGCTTCGGTGTAGTTCCCAGACAGAGCCACCTTGTTGTGGCAGGTGTTGTAGTCCAAGATGACTTTTGTGGAATCTAAGGAGCGTGACCCCGAGGAATCAGTTGCAAGGAACCCAAAGTGGGGTCATTTTGAAATCTCTCCCCGGTATTACTCACCTGTGTACCCACCCGCCCATCCTGGCTGGCCAGCCAGCCACTGTCCACTTGTCCAACCACCAATATGGCCATTTGTCCACCTGTCAGCTGCCCATCTGTTTGTCTATTCATTCACCCCAAGCCAATGGCCAAGCAGCTGCCTCATGCCAGATTCAGTGCAAGAAGCACAACTATGAAGCCCAGCGACGCGGGGTCCGCTTCAGGGAGTTGACCCTCCGGCGAGGCAGGCCAGCCCGGCAGCAGCGACGCTGGCCACCCCGGCACCGCGGGAAAGTGCGGTGCTACCCGAGTCTTGGGACACAGACCCCAGGCTACTGGTTCTACTTGGGGGGCAGAAGGGCACAGGGGAACAACTCCGAGCTGCAGAAGAGGGAAGATGGCGGTGGGCACAAGCGGGAGGCCATGGAGATGTGAAATATGGGTGTGGGTGAAAGAGGAAGGGCAGGGGGGCCCTAAAAGGACCTTGCTGGGAGACTCGGAGGAAACAGGCTAGAGGGTGACTGGGGGTCGGTGGGACTCGAGTCGGGTGGTGGCTCGGGCAGGAAGGGTTAACGAGACAGAGCGGTGGCGCTGAAACATCAAGCCGCTGTTACTCGCAGAGGCCACTGCTAACCTGAGGCAGAGGGGGCAGGGGAGGGGGCAGACGGCTAACCTGGGGCGAAGCTGGGGCGGCCAGAGGTCTGACCAGGTAGGATGAGATTTAGATCCCTGGCCTCTCACCCCAGGGAGCCTGAGAAACATGCAGATTTGAGTGCATATTAGGTGCTGTGTGGGCATCAGGGATTTTAAGAAAACTCCCAGGGGGATTCTAACATGAACCTCAGTCAAGAACCACCCCTGCAGATCACCATCAGGACTGTATTTTCCCAAACTGCCCTCAAAAGGATCACTGAGGAAATGGGATCACCCCACCGCTCTGTGCTCTCCCTGAAGCCTGTCCGTCAGAACTGGCACCAGTCCCAGGAATTTGTATTCTTAACCAGAATTCAGGTGAAAGGGGGAAGGGAGGGCAAGGCAGAGCTGTGGCCAAGAAAGCTTGCTGGTTTGGCCGGTTTTGTTTTGTTGCTTTGCTTTCGTGATAAGGGTTGTGCCAGGGAGGCCCTAGGAGAGCCAGGGCAGGAGGAGAGGTGGGAGAAAGCCTAGGGGACAGCTGAGAGGGGGGCTCAGATTCCAGAGCAAGCGGAGGGGCCACGGAGCGGAGGAGACCTGAAGGGGGCAGGGTGGGGGCGGGGGGCTCTCTGTGAGGCGGAGAGCAGCTGGGGCTAGGAGACTGCAGTGCGGCCACAGGAGGGTTTGAGAATAGGAGGGCAGTGACGGAAACCAGAGCCGACCACCCAGGGGTGTCTCCAGTGGAGAAAGGGGTGCTCTGTGTTTGGGCGTGAGCCAGACTAGACAGCAAGAAGGGACTCAGTGGACTGCTGTGGAATTTAAGCTGGAAGACAGGGAGGTAAAGAAAAGCCAGTGATGATGGAGCTAGCACAGGTGCGGCAAAGTGGAGCACAGGTAAGTCACAGGCCCAGTGAGAGGCCCACCCACTGCCCCTCCCGAGAGAGCGGGACAGGGAGACCGAGAACCTGAGAGAAGGTACTCACACTCCAGGAGCTCGGCCCTGGACTTGGCCAGGAAGGCCTCCAGGACCTTGGCCTTGAGACATATTGCATTTGGCGGCGGGGGAATTGATTTGGTTGCACCTGCGTGAGGGAACAGAGCACCGTTTTCAGTACAAACTAAGAGTGAACACCCACAGCCCTTTTGCCGACAGAAACTCACCCCCTGGGACTGGTTTGAACATCGCTGCTGTGAATTCTACGGGTATGGAGGGGAGAACCTTGCTGAGAGAGGCGGCGGCGGCGGCAGCAGCAGTGGCTGGGGATGAGAGGGAACGTGAGCGGGAGACATGACAGAGTGGCCTGCTGGCCGCTGACCACCTTCCATGCAGACAGTCAAAAACCACTGCACAGACACACACCCAGACAGCCAGAGTGACAGGTGAATCTAGACAGAGCTAGCCTGGGCGGTACCTGTCCTCACCCCCAACCTCACCCCCAGCCCTTACAACTAATAATCCTAGAACTTGGCACCCAGAACCCTGGTGCCCAGGTCCCTGTCAGCATCTAGTTCTGCAAACCAGCAGTCTCCAGAAACAAAAAGATGCAGAAATGCTTAACTTACGAGGTTTCTTGACTTTCTTTTCTTCTTCTGAAAAAGAAAGTTTTCAGCATTAAGGTATTTTGAAGCAGAAGAAAATGAGACTTTCAAAATCGACAATCACGCGCATGAAAGTGACCACTAAAAACAAAGCCAGGTGTCTTGACTTGAAAAATATAAGGGGCAAATAGAACAAGTAGACGAACCTGTGGGCATAGAAACTCCCATTAGAGGTTATGGGCGAGGGATTGACTAATAAAGAACAGGAAGAAATTTTCAGGGCCAATAGTAGTTTTTTTTTTTATGTATACAGAACTGGGGTACAGGCCAGGGGTGCAGGGGGTGAGTGATCCACCAGAGACAGAGTGGGGAGCACAAAAGGCAGGTGGATTGAAGTACACTGCTGAGGGGAGCAGCAGAGAGGCAGGAGAGGTCTGCTGTGCCCTGTGGGTCAGCTCCTGGATCGGGGATCCAACTCGTGCTGCGTTGCAACCCACTGCACCCCCAGGGAGGCCCAAGTAGTCTTTATCTCGATCGGAGGAACAGTGACATAAACATGGGCACTACCAACGCATGCATTTGTCAAAACGTATCCAAGTGTACACTGAAGATTTATGTTTTGTAAGTTGTTATCGCCATAAAGTAAGAAATGCCCTCTCCAACCCAGAAAAGTCCACCCAAAAAAATGTGTTTGTAAAGTACAACAAGCTCTTAAGAAAGGTCTGGAGTGTGTCCCTCCAGGAACTGAGTTCAGCTAAAACAGTGGTTTTCAAAGTGTGGGCCTCAAACCAACAGTATCGGCATCACCCAAGAACCCGTAGGAAATGCAAATTACGCACTCCCCACACCTGCTAAACCTGAGCGTCCAAGGGGCAGGCCCAGCAGGCTACAGTGCAAGCCTCCCGGCAATTTCAATCCATACTCAAGGCTAGAAGATTTTGGGTTCCCCCTTTCCACCTTCCCCATGCTGGCATGAGGGAGGGGTGTTAGGGACTTATTCCTTCTTGCAGGATGCTTTACGTTACAGATGTGCCCCTCTCTCAACTGCTCTCCTCCAATGTCCCCACCACACTCCCTCAAGGTCCCCACTAGGCCCACAGGCCCCCACCACTGCTCCCTCTCACTTCAGGGCCCTTCTCTCCTCAGAAGTTGCCCGTCCTTCGTCTCTGCCCCATTCCTCCTCTTCCCAACGGTTCCCTTCCCTCTGGGAGGGCATCTTGGGAGGACTTCAGATGAGGGTACAGGGCCCCTGTCCTGGTCCCCACAATTCTCAGTTTTATCGACACTGCTCCCCACCCTATTTCCCCATCTCTGATGACTTATTTGATCCATTTTCTACAGAGAAGCCTCACGCATTCCTGTTCACGGCCAGGGCCTGCCTGCGCCCAGCACCACTGCTCAGGCCGAGTGTGCCTGTGGTCTGGGGCCACGGTAAGGAGGTTTTTGAAGAAAATGTCTGACTTTTCACCCAGTCCTTCCTGCCCCCTTCCCCAAAAAGTGCCCCCTTGAGATTTTCCAGCTCAGCCAAGCATCCCCTCCCTTTTACACCAGACACCCAGACCGACTCCCCACACATTTGCCTCCTAGAGGCCACTGAGCCCTACAAACACCCCCGAGTTCTCTCGCCAGCCGCCCTCATTCGCAGAGACTTCAGGGAGAAACAGTAGACAGCAGGTCTGCGGGTATTTATAGCTTTGAAAGAACTTTCCCAATCAGTACTCTACAAGGACCAGGTGAGGCCGATATCGCTATGGTTCCAATTTGACAGGAGAAAACTGAGGCCTGGTCTTGCCCCAGCCCCTCTCAAAAGCACAAGCCTCTCAACCAGGTGACGTCACACCCAAGGGGGCAGAAACTGATTCTGGGGGAGGAGTAATGAAAAGCATCTTAGTCGCTGTGTAAAAGTACAAACATTGGCAGATATGCCATATATATGTGGTGTTAAAATGTCACGGGTGGGACAATTAAGAAAAAAGCTTTCTGAAATGCCTGGGGTGTGGGGCTGTGGGGGAGGTGAGCAAGGGGAAACTTCAAAAAGTTCTAGGACCACTGCCCTCCCCCCCCCCCAGGGGTACCACCCAAGAACCAAACCTTGGGGTCAAAAATTGTCCTCAAAACAAGCCAGCCCTGGGCAGCTGTGCTCCTACGCAGCAGCCATGGGCTCCGCCCCACCCCTGGTGACCTGCAGGGCTGGGCCATCGGGAAGGAGCAGCTCCTCTCCCAGCTATAAATACCCGCAGACCTGCTGTCTACTGTTTCTCCAGCTGCCAAGGGGCCCGCGGAGGGCGACTTACTGGGGGCCTTCTTCAAGAGGTACGAGGGTTTGTGTGGGGTCGTCGGACGCGGCTCTTCTGGGCCCCCTGTGCCAAAGAAGAAAAGGTTAGTTTCTTTGTTCTTCTGAACCACCCCCAAGGAGTCAGCTCTGGGTGAGCATGTGAAGGCTTTACAAGACAGCCATTGATTGCCACTGACCGTCCTATCTCATCGTTTATAACCAAAGTACAAAAAGGGGCCGGGGCCCTCCTTTCTCTGGGGGGCAGTGCTTTCTCCACCAGCTCCCAACTCCCTGGCCCCTGAACCCTCTCTGAGCTTCGTTCTCTTGGGCGTGCAAAGGCATGGCCCCTCCCTCATGGCTGCTGAGATCAAGAGCCGGATGTGCTGCTATGCAGCTTTTGGAGGGGGAAGGAGAGAGCGAGGGGAGCAAACAGGAGGGTGGGAGGCTGCTGTGACTATACCGGAGGGAGGAACCCTGTACCGTCCAAACACTAGCAAGGAAGTAAAATAGTGGCACTTCTATAACAATTAAAAAGATGCGGCACTCGCTGGTGGCGCAGCGGGTTAAGGCGCAGCTCTGTGAAGCTGGCTGCTGCCGCCTCAGTACAGATTCGATCCTGGCCCTGGGGCTGACCCACATGGCGCGGCAGGACTCTCCTGTCTCGCCCGCTGCTCCCCTCAGCAGTGTACTACTTCATTGGTCTGTCTGTTCTGTTCTCCACTCTGACTCTGGTGAACCCTCTCACTGTTCCTGCACCTCTGGCCTGTACCCCAGTTCTGTATAAATAAATAAATCTTAGTGCTGTGTTTTAACCTGCTGCGCTACCAGAGAGGGCCCTAAAAAGATGCCTGGTGTGTAAGAGAGCTCAGTCAACAGTAGTTCCTTCCTCCTGGGTTCTTCTCAGCCCTCTGCCCCTAGACCAGTGATCACTGATGAAGCAGGGAAGGGAATATGCATGGCTGAGTCACTGACAGCTTGGCCCTCTACCTGATCCAAGCCACACCTGTATCAGAGACCCTTCTCAAGGATCAGCTTGCTAAGCTGAAACTCAAGCCCAGCCCCTGCATCACACAGCAAAGATCCGTGTGTGTCAGGTACTGTGCTGGGCACCGTGCTGGGTGAAAACACAGACCTCCCAGAAATTACAACCTGGTGTGAATAGCAAAGAGTAAAATAACAGATGTGCAAAGCGATGATAAGGACCCAAGTGTGAGGAATGGGCTGGTAACAGGGGAGACTTGCTGAGAAGTTTAATGTTTCAACTGAGTGAAAAGTAGGAGGAATCGACTGCCTGGTGAAGTCGAAGCCTTCAGCAAGAAGAGCATCTACAAAAGCCCTGAGACAGGAAGCTTAGCATAGGAGACTGAACACAGCAATGCACGGAAGGAGGGGCATCTTAGGATAATCAAAGCCTGACCTTGCAGGCCAGGGTCAAAACTGTGGTCTGTGATCCAAAAGCAACGGGCATCCCCTGGGAGCAGAGAAGAGACAAAGGTGCTAGGAGCCCAGCTTTGCATCCCGAGCATCCTCTGTCTGCTGTGGGAGAAGATGCAGAGGGACTGTTAAGGAAGCTGCCCCAGATAATGACAACAGAAAGCAGTAGAATCATGTCAAGTGGACTACTGATGGATCAAATTAGAGGGAAGTAAAGTGGGGCAAGAATTCCCCAAAGTGGGGCCTCCCTGATGAAGCAAAGGGTTAAGTCTCAGCACTACAGAGCTCTCTGCAGCCACTGCAGCAAGAGCTCAATCTGTGGCCAGGGTGCTGACCCACATGGCGCTGCAGACCTCTCCTGGCCAGTCCACTGCTCCCCTCAGCAGTGGATTTCACGAGATCTGTCTGTTCTACTCCCCACCCTGTCTCTGGTAAATTTCCTGGCACCTTCGGTCTGCACCCAGCTCTCATAGGCATAAATAAATAAATCTTTAAAAATCTTAAAAATAATTTCCCAAACTAATCATCCCCCTTAAATACAATGACAACCCAGCATTCATTCAGCTCCCTCTGGGTCAGCCCCAAGATCACAGACAGAAAGAGCCCACTCAGAAATCCCCATCGTAACCTAAAGCCTCCAAAGTATTGCAGGAAGGACAGTACCAGTCCAGGAAGCAGACTGGCCACTGCCTCCCGATGGAGGCAGTTGTTTCAGGACCTCCCCTCCAGCCCCTGCCCCTTCCCAAGTCCAGGGGTGTCCTCTCTCCTACCCCAAAGGAGGGGACACTTCCATATAAGGTTCCCCAGAGGGACAGTGGAGATTGCTGGTAGTTACCTGAGCCGGTGGGTTCCTTGGGCTTGCCCTGGCACTGCTTTGAACACTGCTTCAGCTGGTTTTTAAGGTCTGAAGCATCCTGGCAGATGACCTTTATCAGCTCGTGATTTAGCTCCACCTTGGGGATGTAGACAGGCTTCGTGGTGACTCCCTGCAGTTTTGCTGCTTTCTAAAACAAGTCAGGGATTAGTGCAGGCAGTGCCTGTGAAGCAAGAGCCACTGCAGCCAGAGGGCTGCTTCCCTGAGCCCCTGGGTGCTCTGTGCAATCAGCCATGTCAGAGTACAGGTCAGCGGTCACAGGGTTAAGTGCCACTCTGGTGCTCCAAGGGCCCCCTCCCCACCCCCCCACTCCCCGAGAGAACCACCCTCCCACCCCTTACAGATGGGAAACTCAAGTCTAGAAATGACAAGGGCCCAGAACTCTGCCAATCAAAGATAGGGACAAAATTGTCCAGTCTCTCAGTCCCCTCTGGGGTGCTTTTCTAGCCCTCCAGCTGTGGCTGAAAAAGCACAGCGCACTCAACCATCTCCATCCCTTGAGCACTGGCTCTGAACACATGCTCTGAAGAAGGACAGCACTGCCTCCGGGGATGAACAGTCAGGAGTGAGCGTGCCAGACGAAACCAACTCCATCCCGCCTGAGCGTGGGTGAGCAGCTGGTGCTCCTGGCCCTGCGGCACCTTCCCCACGGCCTGCAGCCGGAATGTGGGCCTCTGAGGGCCGGTGGCAGCCACCCAAACGACGGGCCCCTTGGAGCCACATGCCACTTGCTACATGCCTGGCGTGATGCTTTGGGCTACAGGCGCCGGGAAGAAGAAGGGCAGTAAAATAAGGGATAGGCCCCGCCTGAAAGGAACTGGCAGCCTCCACACGGGAAAACAAGCACATCTGAAACAGCATGGTTGGGGCTGCAGCCGTCGTGGGCAACGTGCTGGACACCAGCAATGGCAGAATAACAGCCACGTTATTTCCACGGAAAACGGGGCAATGAGCTGCCTGGCAGAAACAACACGGTTCTCTTGGTGGAGAAGGGTGGCCGTGGCTTCCCCAACCAGGGCCTGAGTGTCCGAACCATGGGCTGGGGCGGTGGTGGCAAGAAACCAGGCTGCTGGTCACCCAGGCATCACGTGGGCCTGCCTAAGGAACAGGATACGTAGAAGGGCAGAGGGGAGTCCGGGCAGTTGAAAGATGCCTCCAGGGCCTGAGCGGGGGAGGGAGGGGGGAGGGAAGGAGGGACATGCACATGCAACAGGGACTCTCTAAGATGACCCCCCAAGACCTTCCCCTGACCAGGGTACGCACCCCATCTACTCACTTCCCCCTGAATACAGGCAAGGTGGTGGTGAATATATCACACCTGTGACTAGGTTATATCACATGGCAAAGCTGAAGGAATTGAGACCCCAAGTCTGTTTGTTTAGAGTCAATCAAAAAAAAAAAAGTGATTACCCTCAGTGGGCCTAGCCGAATCAGGCAAACGTCCTTAAAAGCGGAACTGGACCTACCTAGAGGGGAATGTTTCCAGTGGCTTTGAAGAAGAAAGCGGTTAGGTTGTGAGGCAAGACTCAGTTCACAGCCGGAAAGAGAGCAGGGACCCAGTTCTTGGACCACAAGACACTGAATTCTGCCCACAACCACAGGAGCTTGGAAAACAATCCCAAGCTCCAAAAGGAAAGCAGCTCAGCCGACACGCAGACTGCAGCCGGGGCCAGGGGCCCCCCAAAGTCACACCCTGATGTCGGAGCCACAGGCATCATGAGATGAGTGTGTGTGATAAGCCTGAGTGTAGACATGGTCGTGCAGCCCAGAGTAAGAATACTGGGTGTCTTAGGGATGCTGACGGCCCCACTCCTTGAGGGTCCCAGGGCACCCATAACGGACACAGTAACAGGAGGCAGAAACTCTTTGATGACATCCGCCAGACCCACCTCCAGAAACTCAAGCTCGTCCCCCTTAGCCAGAGCAAGTTCAATCTCCTCCTTGAGGTTCTGGATCTCGCTCTTCTTCTTGAGCAGGATCTGGTAGATGCTCTCAAACTTGACAGTGACCCGCTTCTCCTCCTCTTTGATCTTTCGTGTCAAGTTGGCCTCTGAGGCATCAATGACAGCCTTCATTTCCAGGTGTTCTTGGCTAATTTTCTCCACCTTCTTCTGTGCAGAGTCCTAAGCAGGCCAGGAGAAGGGGGCATGTTTCAGGCTGGCAGAAAAGCATGTGGGTGCTGGGGACATGAGGTAAGAGGCTCTCTGATTTGTGTTTCACGGGAGTCACAAATTGGCAAGTGTGTGCGACTTGGTATCTAGTGGCTCTGAAGATGCTCAGACTCAATGACCCAGCAAATCAACCCAAGGAATAAATTCTAGAAAGGTTCTCAGATACCTGCCCCAGAGACACTTGTGAAGACGCTCAGAAGCAGCAGCATTTGAAATAACAAAAACTGGGAACAACCTGCACATCTATTAGCAGAAGATGGTATACAGAGGCTGCAAATTATCCAAAGCTGGAAGCTAAGGAATGCAATGATGCATGGATAAGTATTCACGAGGGAAGGTCGCCTGTGGCGAAGGCATCAGCCTGATGCTGCTACATAAAGTTTAGCAATAAACAGCGGGTAGTATCTCTTGCAAAAGAATGGATACATGCATTGTAAAAGTAAAAAGAAACACATGAGAAAGGGTGAATAAGTTCAGGAGAGTGGGCCCTCCTTGGTGGTGCAACAGGTTACAGTACCACATTGTGAAGCAACCCGCAGCCACTGCAGCACAAGTTCGATCCCCAGCCAGGGAGGTGACCCACATGGTGCGGCAGGCCTCTCCTGTCTCGCCTGCTGCTCCCCTCAGCAGTGTATTTCAGTCAGTCAGCCTGTTCTGTTCCCCACTTTGTCTCTGATGAATCCTCTCACCACCAACACCCCCAACCCTGCACCTCTGGCCTACACCCCAGTTCTTGTATGGGTAATAAATCTTTAAGAAAATGTCAGGATAGTGGTTACTTCTAACAGAGAGGAAGGAGGCTCTAAAAGGGAGAGGCCCAGTGGGGACTTCATCGCATTGGTGATATTTTAATTTTCAGTCTGGAAAGCAGTGCATGGGCCAAATTTTTAGGGGGAAGTATAAGAAGCAGTGTGGGGTAAATGAAGTTATCCGGTTCCGCCTGTCCTCCCCGCCATTAGCATCAGTGATCCACACCTGTGGTCTTGCACACGTGCCTGATGGCGGCACCTTGAGCATGGCCTGGGCACTATGCGTGGGCATACCTGAGCCGAGAGGCTGGCACAGGGCAGTGGCCAGAGGGCAGCAGCAGAGGACTGTGCAGCAGAGTGCAACAGAAACCAGTGGGGAGACCAGAAGAGGATGCCAGAGAAGCCAGAAAGAATGAAGATTTGTGAGGGGCTAGGAGGCCCCCCAGCTACCTGGCCTGCCCTGCACCTGGTTGCCTCACTACAAATGGTGTAGAAATATCATTAAGAGTCTGAAAAAATGGGCCCTCTGGTGGTGTGACAGGTTAAAGCACAGCACTCTGAAGCTGTCCACAGACACTGCAGCACGGGTTAGATGAGCTGGCCCACATGGCGCAGCAGACCTCTCCTGACCCGCCCGCTGCTCCCCTCAGCAGTGGACTTCGTCGATCTGCCTGTTCTGCTCCCCACTCTGTCTCTGGTGAAGCCTCTCACCGCCCCTGAGCCTCTGGCCTGTACCCCAGTTCTGTATGCACAAATAAATAAATCTTTAAAAAAAAATTTAATACAAACAAAAGTTAAATTATAAATGTACAAAACAATTATAATATAGCTCGTGAATATTTTAATATTAATGAAATATTATTAACGACTACATGTGGGAGTGATAGAACTTTGGATGTATTGAGTTAAATAAAATGATTTATGAAGGTTCATTTCAAACAATAAAATTAACTTCAGGTATTACTCAAATTTATCAGCATTCACAGACAGGCTTCCACCACCTGCCCTGATGCACTCATGAGTCTCGAGCTTGCTGCCCACACTGTGTTCCCACTGGCCAACCCTCTTCTTGAAGGTGCAGTGCAGTTTCACTTTATACCTTGGGATAACCTCAATAGCTCAGAATCAAACATATGCTGGCACACAAAGATACACAACAGAGACAGCGTACAGGGAACTCTCTATCCACCGACTGCTTCAGTGTGCATGTTCCTTTCACTAAGAGAATGCTCCAGAGCCTCAGATGGACAAATGTCTGCCTAGCCACATTTCCCAGCCTCCCCTGACGCTACATTTGGTCATGTGATTGAGCTGCTCCCAAAGCAGCATTAAGCAGAAGTGATGGACAACATTCTCCCTGTTCCCCTTTCACAGTCTAGAACAAAGTTGTAATGCTGACCTCACTTCAACCAAAGAGATGAGGCAAACGCCACAGGAAGCAGCAAGAATTGTTGCAATGGAAAGATACTGAATCCCTGAATGATCGTGTGGAACAGAACCACCCCCCTCGCCTGGGTTGTTTGTGCCTGGGTTTGCACAGGGAGCAAAATGAAGATCTATCATGTAATCTGTTTTTATCCGAGTTAGTTAAGTCTCTGAATTCTGGGCGTGAGTTTGTTACAGCAGTGTAATCTGTTACCTAACCAATCCAGGTACTTTTATGTGCAACCTTTCATTTAAGCTTCACAGTCAACTTCAGAAAGTTGTTATCCCATCCTGTGGATAGAAAAAGGAAGACCCAGAGATCTGCCAACGTGATCAGAACATCACAAACCAGCCTGTAACAGCTGGTATTCTAACCCAGATCTCACCTCATCAGCCGTAGCTGATGCTGCAGTACCAGAACCAGCAAGGGTGACGCTTAACTCTGCCACTATGGGTGGACCGACATGAGCCTGGCGCGGGCAGGGCTGAGCCCACCCTGCCAGGAGCCCCTTACCCGCACACTCTGCTGCTTGGCTCTCACGTCCTCCAAGGCCTTGGCTGCGCCGTTGATCTGGCCGTATATGACGGTCAGCTTTTGCTTCATCTTGGCCTGTGGAGGAAACAATCCAGGGTGAGAAACAATCCAGTCCCGCCCTCACCAGCACCCAATACAAGGGAGCACCCCTGAACCAACCCCACAGATATTTCCATCACCCAAATATTGCCTGCTTGTAGCTTTTTCTGGACTTTTTGGCTTGTTTTGTTTTGCTTTCCACATTTTTTTTTAAAAGTATTTATTTATTCATACAGAACTAGGGTACAGGCCAGACGTGTGGGGTGGTGAGAGGATTCACCAGAGACAGAGTGGGGAGCAGAATAGGCAGATCGAGGAAGTACACTGCTGAGGGGAGCAGCGGGCGGGTCAGGAGAGGTCTGCCGCGCCATGTGGTCACCTCCGGGGCAGGCGGGAATCAAACTCATGTGGAAGTGGCTTAAGCTTCTTAGTGCTGTGCTTTAACCCGCTGCGCCACCAGGGAGGGCCTCCACATTATTTTGTTAAAAATTTATTTATGCATGCAAAAGCTGGGGTGCAGACCAAAAGTGTGGGGGGGGAGGCTGGAGGGCGAAATAGAATTCACCAGAGACAGAGTGGGGATCAGAACAGGCAGATCCACTGAAATACACTGCTGAGGGGAGTCGCACGGAGACAGGAGAGGTCTGTTGGGCCATGTGGGTCAGCTCCCTGGACAAGGATCGAACTCGTGCTGCAGTAGCTGCGGATAGCATCACAGTGCTTCACTTTAACCCCTTATGCCACCAGGAAGGGCCCTGTTCCTTTGTTTTGTTCTCTATTTTCTGTATATGGGTGCTGCTAATAGCTTTTGAAACAGTCCGTACTAACTGCCTCTGCTCATCGTTTTGTGGGGGCTGGAGAGGGGGGCGGGGGGGCAACAAAGAAAGAGTCACAGGACAAAAACAAGGAAGGACTCAAAGACAGAACTTTGTTAGTAAATAAGAGGTTAAAAAAATCTAGGGCCAGACATCTGCTGCCATAAATTTCCTTGGCCCATAATGTTTGGGGGGTTTTCCCTGTATTTACTAGTTGTTCCCCAGCCCATGCATTCCTGAGTTATCTCTTTAGAGTTTATCAAGTTAGTCTATGGAAGAAGGGAGTCACAGATCTTGAGGCCAGACTGGGTCATACTGGTGCTACAGGCACCAGTCTCGATGAGACACCCTGGGGCTGTGCCTGAGCCCGGGTGACAGGGCTGCTGCTGATTGGTGCTCGCAATTAGCATGAGAAATGGGTCACTGGGGTAGACAAATGGCCTTTATCCAAGTCTACTCTGCTTGCCTTCTCAGCCAATAGGTTTAATTCCTTTCTTCTCAAGCCTCAGTGCTAAAACCTATGTAGACCCCAAGCCCTGGCAGCTCAGAATCGCTCATGTCCAGGGAGGTCTCCCCAGAGCGCCCCTTCCTTGATCTTTCATTGCTTAATAAGCGCTGACTCCTTGCCTGCCCTCGTAGGTGTCTCTGGGGCCCACTTTTCAGTCTTGAGCAGCAGGTCTCAAGGGCCCTTTCCAGGGCCTGGGAGCAGGACCCTGGATCCATTCCCCCAGTTCCCAGCAGTGGGCAGTAGAGAGTGGCTGGTTCCCTCTCAGTTTGTCCACTCGTGTCATTTGAAAGTGGGATTGGACTGAGAGACCCAGATCCTCTCCCTGGTCCGGTGACGGGGTGTAGTGCAGTGAAGAAATGAGGAGCACAGGGTTTGGAGGCAGAGCGATCAGGGCTCAGTCCTGCCAATCGCCCAGGTGTCTCTCTCAGCCGTTTCCTTAGATACAAGTGTTCCTACCTCACGGGGTTAGCAGAACTAACTGAAGTCACATAAGCCCTCAACACAATGACTGGTTCTTAGTAAGGTCAAACTAATGTCAGCCGGAGCCTCCCTGGTGGTGCAAAGGGTTAAAGTGCATCTGCAGCCACTGCAGCAAGAGTTCCATCCCCAGGCAGGGAGCTGACCCACATGGCCCAGCAGACTTCTCCTGTCTCGCCCGCTGCTCCCCTCAGCAGTGTATTTCAGTGGATCTGCCTGTTCTGCTCCCCACTCTCTCTCTCCCCACTCGGTCACTGGTGAATCCTCTTACTCCACTGCCCCACATCTCTGTATCCCAGTTCTTGTATGCATAAATAAATAAATCTTTAAAAAAGAGAAAGAGATGATAAAACTGATGGAAGAACAGCAAGGCAGCTCAGCTCACACGGAGACAGCTGCTTCAGTAATAGATGAGGTCATGGATCTGATGGAGGAAGGAATGCAGGGGAGGCATCACAAGAGAGTCACACAAAGGGGGTGGGGAGAAGGGGCCAGCCAGCAACTGACTGACACAGCCATAACATCAAGGTCAAAACCTGGTGTCCGGGATGCTCCAGGATGCTTGAATATCTGCAGGAGGTTCCAGCTGATAACAGACTGTTGGGAGCTGTGTCTGAAGCTCAAATCCAAAAGGTGGAAGTTAAGGACATGAAGATGAAGCTCATCAGGAATCTCTTTCAGATTCTATTCAAAGTCAACAACCTAGGCTCTCAGAGAGTGCGCCCCTCCCAGGGAGAGGCTGTCTATATCAGGGCAGTCTCTCCACCAGCACTGGACAGCAGACCTCTGCCCACCTGTGCCTATGCAGGTGCTTCTTTCCACCGTGCTCTCCCTCTGCAGGGCAGCAGCCTCCTGCCTGCCAGTGACCTGTGCCATGCCCAGGAACTCTCCGCACCGACCTCCCCCAGCACACACCGCTCTCCTAACACCACTTGCCTGCAACCATGCAGGTCTCTCTCCCTGCAAACCTGTCCCTTCTGGGGCAGCTTTTCCTGCCGGCTTGTGCCTATGCAAGTGTCTTTTCTCTTCTGTCTCTTCCTAATAAACTTACTCTTTAAATATAATGGAATCTCTGCCTCATGGAGAATCTCGCCGTGTGCCTTGAAAGGGGAGCTCTGGTGAAACCTTTCCCAGAGTGAACCCAAGGACCCCGAACTCCAAAAGACGACATCAGATCCATCTCTCCCACTGGTAACAATCAGATAAGCAGACAGAATACTGGGAAGGAAGTCTGCTAAAAGACAATGGAGGCCCTCCCTGGTGGCACAAGGGGTTAAAGCGCAGCACCTTGAAGCTAGTCACCTGCTTCTGTGTGAGTTCGTGAGTTACATCCCTGGCCAGGGAGCTGACTCATGTGATACAGCAGACCTCTCCTGACACTCCCCCTGCTCCCCTCAGCAGTGCACTTCCCTTGATCTGCCTGTTCGGCTCCCCACTCTATCTCTGGTGAATCCTCTCACTGCCCCTGCACCTCTGGCCTGTACCCCAATTCTGTATGCATAAATAAATAAATCTTAAAAAAAAAAAAAAAAAGAAAATGGAAAGCTAACAAACAGACCAAGATCTGGGAAAGGAAGCCCAGAGAGCTAAGTCTGGCCTGTGGGGCTGTCATCCCAGCCTCGCCTGGGCTCCAAGATACAGCTGGGGGAGTTGTCAGCTTCAGGAAGACACACAAAACCAAAGTCCAAGTTTCACTTGATTAGGCCTAAGTCAGGGATCGGGGCTCCACCCCAGAGAGCAGCTGTAGAGGAGCCTGCTAGTTTCCTGAAACAGAACTGAACTGAATTAAGTTCATTCAGAACTACTACCCCTTAGCCACCTCCAGCATTAGCCAAGGACTCACAGCATTTCTATAAACTTCCATAATCAACATCAGACTCCTACCCCCCAGTTCTGGGGAGATGCTGGGGCACAGAAGGGGCAAGAACAATAACCACCATGATGATAGCACCTTCTATTTATTATTACAATAAGCCAGGCATTGTTCTAGTGTTTCACATGTGCTCATTTACTTACACTGAGGACAACCCCACGGGAGAAATTACCTGCCGCGTAAGGTGATTACCTGCCCCGTAAGGTAAGGGCAGTGAGGCACAGACCCGTTCAGAAGACTTATACCAGGTCACATCCCTAGAACTGCTGTGAGAAGATCCTGGTGTTATAAGTTAGACTGCTGCCCAAACTGAGAACACTAGAAATTAATACAAAACAAAAAAACAAAACCAACATTTACTTCCCCTAACTAGCTGACTCAACTTACTCTGGCCTCCCTTTCACTTTCCTGCCTCTCCCACTCCACTGAAGATATTCAAGGCAAAACCTGACCTTGAATCTGGACACGAACATTCAGGGACATGTACAGGCTGGAAGCTGAACCAAGGTCACCCTAACTCAACCTCAAAAGCCCAAGTCACTGACCATTTACAAACTGACCTCTGTAACAATGCCCTTTGACCTGGCCTTTAACACTGGTGCAGATAAACTGTGGGCCCAGGGCGAGAGGCCGCCTCCTGCCTCGAGGCCTTGAAACTGGAACAGACCTCAGAATGCCAACTGTTTCACCTCCGTGACTGCACCTCTGAAAACTCTAGTTTGAAAATGTGTAATCTTCATTGAATCTATGTATGTGACAGTCTCCCGATGGCAGAGAGGGGCCCACACGGCTTCAGGGGAGAGTGGCCCCCATGCCTTTGACAGCCCCTGAATGAAGCATAGAGAACTTTAATTCCTGAGGATCCCTTTACAGATTGGGGGCTTGAGTCCTCCACATGGGAGTGGCACTTCTCAGCCAGGGATGGCCGCCACCAGCCATGGGCAGCAGCAAGGCTGGAAAAGATTTGTGAAAGGACTCAGCAAGGGAAGGCCTATGACAGGATTAATGTTAGTGATGTGGGGCGGCGGGGAGACGCACAAATAAACGGGGTGTGGGTTCCAGCTCTAGGCTCTGGTGGTGGCAAAACCTGTGTCTTCAGGTAACCCTGAGAAGGGCCCTTAGGGCCTTTAGACAGCAGCCAGCTGCACAGGCCCTGCAAGCTCAATACCCTGAGGCAAAAACTGGGGGCCTACAGCTCCTCCCCCCAGCTCTCCTCTACCCTAGACTCAAGCAACAGAAACATGTAATGTTCATGGCAAAATGCTATTTATAGCATGCCTTATTTAATTTTCATGAGAACTGTCTGAGATAGGTATTACCCTGCTTTATAAATCCCTAGCTAGGAAGCAGAGCCAGAATTCAAACCCAGGCCTCAACATCCAGCTCTGATGGGAGTCTGTCAATCAGCCTCTCTGGGGCCTGCCCACAAGGCACTAAGCCCAGCTTATCTCTTGAGAGCCTTCCAGCACCCTTGGAAGTAGGATGAGAATGTTATCAGTCTCATTTTATAAATGAGGAAGCTGAGGCTCAGAAAATTGCAGTGACTTGCCCTACACCACACAGGTGATATGGGGTAGAGCAGGACTTCTGTTTCCAAAGACAAGGTGTGTTCCAGGTGACAGGTGGAGAGAGCCAGGTAACTGGGCCTGAGATGGCCGTACCTGTGGTCTACTCTCGGGCCTTGTCTGGAAGTCCAGTTTCTGAGATTCAGGGGTTAAGTCCAGAGGAACCCAGCTCGGCTCTAAAGCAGCCCAGACCAGGGCAGGGCTGATGCCCAGTGGCAGAAAGGCCTGCACCCCAGTCCTGGTGCTAACCTCCCAAGCCTCAGAGCCTCTCTTGACAACAGGAGGGCAATCCTGTTGTCCCTGATAATAAGGAACAAAGGAAACCAGGCCACACTCTGGAGCCGAGACTGATGTAACTATAGGTGGTTTGATTACACCACTTCAGTTTCTGCCTTTGATTCCACAGGGGGAAATTGTGATTCCCCCAAACTTAAAACAGTAGGCCTGGAATATCACCAAGGGGCCTCCTTTTACTGACCCTCCATTTCCTGATGAGGGGTCAGGCACAGGGGCCAAATCACACAGCCAGGAGAGAGGCTATGGGGCGGGGGCGTATAAGAGCACCCAACGTCCCTATGGGCCCTTTCCAGGAATTCCAGGGACTCTGGCGACTCTCCTGCGCCTAGTGACCCTGCCGGACATAATTATCCAGCTCGTCAGAGGCAGTTCCACACATGACTTCAAGCCTCCAGGAGTGACACATGCTCTGGACTCTTTAGACCTGGATGTGAGGCGGGTTAACAGTGTAGTCAACCAGCAGGGTCCCCATGCCCACCTGGTCACTTACTGCACCCGCGCAAGGCTGAATTAACTTTTCTGCACCTCCATGTCTCAAAGGTAAAGTGCAACTAATCAGATGCACCACATGGATGCTGACAGGGTTTCACAGGGATTATCCTGTGCTCATCCTTGGTGTTCAGAGCCATCACTGAGCCACATCAGGCAGTACCAGGTTTAAGGCAAGGAACCCCACCTGTGTCTTCAGTGGTCACCCCTGAACCCCACCGGTGTCTTCAGTGGTCACCCCTGTAACATGGTAAGGGGGGAGGCGGAAGGGAGTGTAGACCTTGGATGGCAGATGACACTGTATGCCACCCATCTGGGTCACTGGCATGTCACCCTGTCCCTTCTGTCTGCCCCGGCCCCGAACGCAGGCCCAACAAGGACCACACCCACCCAGCACTACGTGACTCAGCACTGGCAGGCATGCCCACCTCGCAGGTGGGCATGCCACACTACCTCCATCTCGGCCGTGGCCTGGCTCAGGGACACAGGCGAGCAGGTCTTGTGTTCCACCAGACAGACGTGACAGATGCACTCGCAGTGCTCAGAGCAGAAGAACTCCCGCAAGCGGTTATGCTGGGGGCACTTTCGGCGCATCAGGTCGCAGACCGGCGGCTGCAGCGGGTGGTCCCGGAAGGCGGGGCTGTCGAGGTGCGGCTTCAGGTGCTCCTGGCAGAAGGAGGCCATGCACACGAGGCAGGTCTTGACGGCGGTGGCGGTCATGCAGTGGTCGCAGGCCACCTGGCCGGCCACGCTGGGGGTCTGGGTGCGCGCGGGCGGGCTCCAGCCGTCGGGGAGCGCCTCCTGGGCCACCTCGGCTTGCAGGAACTGCTCCACGATCGCGCACAGCACGGTGTTCTTGAGCAGCTGCGGGCGCGTGTGGAAGGCGGTACGACACTGCGGGCACAGGTAAGGCGCGCCCGCAACGGTCCATGTCTCATCCAGGCACGCCCGGCAGAAGTTGTGCCCGCACGGGGTGGTGACCGGCTCCTTGAAGGACTCCAGACAGATGGAGCACGACAGTTCCTCGGCGAGGGTGAACAGCTCCGCCATGGCGCTCCTGGGGGCTCCGGACCTGTGCACGGGAGACGTACCTGCCTGCACTGAGCGATCGCCGACACCGCCTAGGAAACGAAACCGAACGCGGGGAGGGGAGGTCCCTTCAGGAAGTCACGTGAGGGGCGGGGACCGGACCGGACACCCGGCGGGGCGGGGCGGGGCGGGCGCGCGGGAAGGGGCTGGGGGCCTGAGCTGAGCCGCCACCGCTGCCCCTCCCGTCGCGAGCAGGCGCTCCGCGGCAGGAAAGGGAACCACGCGCAGACCCCCGACGGCTTCTGACTGACGGGCGGTGGGTTCGAGGTTTCAGGGGGACGCTCATGGCCTCATGACCCCCAGAGGGTTCTTACAGCCATTTTGCTGATGAGGAAAGTGTCGCGTCGGGTGGCGCACAGTAGGTCCCGAGAGTCGAAAGCAGAAGCAAGCCCCGTTTCGCCACCAACGCTCTCTCTGGTAGCAAGTCCCTTTCTTGCAGAACTCACCCAGACCCGAGAAGTCCCATCCCACCCCACTTCTCCCGCCCCCCGACAGCTCCCGCCCCGCGAGTCAGCCTGGTCTTTAAAAAAGTAACTGGACCTTTAAAAAACTGCACTGAGCGATCGCTGACACCGCCTAGGAAACGAAACCGAACGCGGGGAAGGGAGGTCCCTTCAGGAAGTCACGTGAGGGGGGCGGGGACCGGACCGGACACCCGGCGGGGCGGGGCGGGCCACCCCTGGTGGCCCAAAGGGTTAGGGCGCAGCACCGCAAGCTGGCTGCAGCCGCTTCAGTGCGAGTTCGATCCCGGCTCTAGAGCTGACCCACATGGCGCGGCAGACCTCACCTGTCTCTCCCGCTGCGCCCCTCAGCAGTGTACTTCGTCTGTCTGCCTGATCTGCTCCCCACTCTGTCTCTGGTGAACCCTCTCACCACCCCTGCACCTCTGGCGTGTACTCCAGTTCTGTATGAATAAATAAATCTTTAAAAAAAAAAAAAAAGTACCTGCAGGGACAGTTACACCCCTGCCTTTACCCACCCACCTCACTTCTTTTTCCAACCCTTCCTTCCTCTTCCCTGGTCCTGTGCTGGGACATACGGACATGCGGTCCCTGAAGTTGGTGCCCAGTCGCACCACTCAGGCTTAACGTGGTGATTTCTTTCCATGTCACTGGTGTTTCGTGCTTTCTTCTTTTTATAGTCATTCCTACTTTCCTGGGGTTTCGAAACAGTCCAGCTTCATAAAGGTTTTCTTTCTCTCATATACGTGAATACACCCACATCCATATGTAAGAACACATAAATTTGAAACAAACGTTTTTCTAAAATATATTTAAGTTAATTTAAATTCCATTTTTTTTAGCATGTGTGCATGCATGCAACTCACATATACACACTCCCTTCCCCCCACCCCCCAGGAAAAGTGTGTTTCCAGAAGGGGAAAAATATTCAAAAGAAGGCATGGAGGGGGGTGGCAAAGAGAAAGATGGTGTTTGGGAGGAATTAGGTGGAGTTTGCATTGGGGACAGAGTGGGCAGTGACAATGAGGACAGGGAAAACTGCTAACAGTGATGAGTGGTTCCATTTATGGGGCACCTACAGTGTCACAATGTCATGTCTTACAATTCTTATAAAACCCCCAGGCAGGGCCCTCCCTTGTGGTGCAGTACTGTGAAGCTCTATTACCACATGGTTAAAGTACAGTACTGTGCAGGACTGTGAAGCTCTATGCAGCCACTGCAGCATGAGTTCCATCCCCAGCCAGGGAGCTGACCCACTTGGCTCAGCAGACCTCTCCTGTCTTACCTGCTCCCCTCAGCAGTGTATTTCAGTTGATCTGCCTGTTCTGCTCCCCACTCTATCTCTGGTGAATCATACACATAAGTGAATAAATCTTTAAAAATAAAAAATGAAATCAAGACAGAAGTCATTTTATCCATTTTACAGATAAGTCACACAGTTTGTGCAAAACAGAACTGGGTTTCTAGCTCCAAGCTGCTTTTACCCATCATTGTATTTCCTAGTTCTGCCTTTCTATTTCCTCAGGCCTTTGCCCCACTGATTCCTATTGCCTTGTTGTTTGGGGAAGAAGGAGAAAGAGAGATGGAAAAGGTAGGAAATTACCCTTTATACATAGTATCTCAGTTAACTTTCGCAATAAACCCTACAGGAAAGTATGTAATCTCAAGTTACAGATGAGAAACTGAGGCTTAGAGAAAACTATACTTTCCTAAAATGATGAAAAATGGCATTCAGATTCTGATTCCAGAAGCCAAGTTATCTCCTTCTCAAAAGTGCTACCTCCCAAGGGAGCGAACAGAGCAGTCCCCACTGACCAAAGGCTGGTAGGTGAGGTGGCCTGGTTCACCAAATATGTGTAGATTCATGCCAAATATGTGTAGAATTCTCTTTCCAGGTGGAATAAACAGATTAGAAGGGCTGGTTGTGTGATGAAGATGACTTTATCAAATTCCATGTGGTAAATATTTACTCAGATCTACTGTGCTAGATTCCTTCTTTTGCAGGTACAATATTTTGTACTGTTTCAATCTTTGAAAATGTATTGAGACTTGTTTTATTATGAATGGAGACTTGCTTCACTATAAGAATACAACCTCTCTTTGGTGATGCAACTGAGTAAAGTGTATGCCACAGCTTCTTTAGCAGGAGTTCCATCCCTGGCCAGGGAGCTGACCCACATGGCCCAGCAGACCTCTCCTGGCCCACCCGCTGCTCCCCTCAACAGTGTACTTCGTCAGTCGGCCTGTTCTGCTTCGTCAGTCGGCTGCTCTGTCTCTGGTGAATCCTCTCACTGCCCCTGGTCTCTGGCCTGTAACCCAGTTCTGTATGCATAAATAAATAAATCTTAAAAAAGAAAAAGAATATAGTCTCAAGCCCACAGGGATTACAACTGAGATGAAAAAAGGCACTAAATAATGTAAAAGAAAAAAAAATACAGACCACATACGATTAAAAAAAAGAAGAACATAGTCTCTCTTTGGTGGTGCAGCGGGTTAAAGCACAGTACTCAGAAGCTAAAGCCACTTCCTCATGAGTTGATCACTGCCTGACCTGGAGGTGACCACATGTCATGGCAGACCTCTCCTGACCTGTCCGCTGCTCCCCTCAGCAGTGTACTTCGTCGATCTGCCTGTTCTGCTCCCTGCTCTGTCTCTGGTGATGCCTCTCACTGCCCCTGCACTGCTGGCCTGTACCTTAGTTCTGTATGCATAAATAAATGAATCTTTAAAAAAAAATAATACAGTCTCTCTTGTTACTTGGTTACTTTTCATGGGCTCACTTTTCCCATCCCTTTACTTTCATTATTTCATCATCTTGAATCTGAGGTGTAACTCTTGTCCATAGCCTTATAGGTAGGTCATGTTTTTCAGTGCATTCTACCAATCTCTGCAGCACTTAATCCTTTCATGTTAAGGACTCATAAGCTACCATTTGCTGTTATTTTTTGTTTTTGTCTCACATCTTTTTGGCTTAATTATTCAATGACTACCTCCTATAAATATTAAATATTTACTGGAGTGCTACTTTATTCCCTGTTAGTTCTTCCAATATTCTCTCTGTCCTCCCCCCTCCCCTCCCTTGGGAGCCCCTGTCTATGTTTTTAGGTTTCTGCTAATTTCCAGAGTTCTGATAACGTTGATCCTGATCACTTTTGTTAGTTACCTTTCATGTACACAGAATTTTCCATGGACCTTGACTCCATTTTTGCTGTCCCCACATTACTCTTTGAATGTACTAGTCTGTAGTAATCATCCCTCTTATACTCCTGATAAAATTTGTGTTTTCTTTCCTTTTTTCTTGTTTCATCTGCCTAATAGTTTATTAATTTTAGCTTTTTCAATGAAACAACTTTTGACTTTAAATTTTTTCTGTCATTTGTCCAGGAGAAAGGCCCACAAGAGCAGTTTTAGTCAGAGGGAAGTTTGATTTGTCTAGTGAAGAGGAGCAGAATCAAGGTCCCAGCTGCGTCCTGCTCTCACTCAGCTCTTCCAGCTGCAGTGTGTCACAGAGGACAATTAATGCTGCTTCTGGTGCAGAGGCCTCTGGGGTGGTGGCGGGTTCCCTGTTCCTAATAACCCCCAGGGGGTGGCATCTGCAGGCCCACTGGAGCAGCTGGGTCTGCACTTAGCCCACCTGCCTTTCTGCTGAAAGCTGGACTTGGATTCTTTGGCAGGCTCTGAGGGTAAGTTTAGGAGCAAGTGGGATGGCACGTTGTGTTGTTGACACTGCGGGCTGTGCCAGGAAACGTGCTGCTTGAGATACGTAAGTGACACCAGTGAGTCTGTGACCTTTGGACTGTTCTGTGGGTTTGTTTTCTTAAAATATCAGACATTATAACTACATTTTAGGCCATAAAACCCTGCCAAATCTCATCATTGATCACATGGGATGGGGTGGCATTGCTGCCACATTACAAAGTGACCGGGGGAGGGCCTGGCAGAGGACAGGGGCCAACCACCACCCCATTATATTCCGCATGTATTTTCCTGGGGTTTCATTGTACTTATTATGTTCCATTAATCCTTCACCAGCTCGTCTCTGAATGAACTTTCTCTCCTGTCAACTGGGAAATAAAAAGGAAAAGAAAAAAAATTAAGTTGTATTCTTAACCTCTGGGTGTCATATGTCTTATTTGGCTACCATCAAGGCAGAAAAGCTATGGCACTCAAATTAGGACAAGATACAAAAACTAATAGATAATGATGTAGTCACAGAAACCTCCAAACCTTCTAGAATAAAAGTATCAATGATGAGAAGTGACTTTCTTCCTCCTACCTAAAATTATAATTAAAGAAAGCCTAAACATGGCAGCCAATATTTGTAACAGAAAATAAATCAGAAAGAAGGGGGTACAGGGGTCCACTGAAAAATTGGAGTGAGACCTTGGGTAAATCACGTAACAGGAACGTGAGTGGTAACTAATCCCTCATCAAACACTATGTCGTGACTAGCCAGGCCTGTGCTAAATGTGTTCCGTGCATTATTATCTCATACAATTCTTGCCTCACTCCTATGGCTGGGTGCCATCATGAGGAAACTGAGGTTTAGAGGCTGGATAACTTGTCAAAGATGAAGTGACCACGGCAGACTTCATCTGCTAAATTGTGAGCTCTGGGTCAAAAACTCTGACGTCAAGGTTCTAACCACACAAGTTATTTCACTTCCTCTGGATGTGTGACCCAGAATAAAATGAAGCTTGGGTTTCATTCTTCCGGCTGTGGCTCCTGGTTTTCACATTATGTGCTTCACAATGGCCAAAGGTTAGGTGCCTGTGTCCCAGTTAAGACTTGATGGTGTAGCTCAGAGCTTTATTAACCCAAGTCCATGGTAATGAGGAGAGATGGTCACAGTGGTCACATTCCCAAGGGTCCACTGAGCTGCTTAAAGAGATAAATACTAACTCATTTTACTCTTAGGCAGTGAAATTTAAGCATTAACATACAAATATCCTCTGACCAAATCAGTATAACTTTTGCAAAATGAAATGAATTCACTGTGAATAATATATACTCCTGCTAAATTTCAGTTGCAACTTTTCTTCCTGAATGTTCATGAACTCACATTTTATTAGCCTCTGATGGAGTCTGATGAGAGGCTAAAAAAGTAGACCAAAACTTTCTGAATGTTACATTTTTTGGCTTTTCAGTATAGGTCTGAGGATGTGTAAGGCCCAGTCTGACACTCAGCCTGTCTCTCAGCTCAGGTGAGGACCCACTTCCGCCTGAAAGCCCATTTTTTTTCCTTTAAGTCAGCAGCTCTCTGTGGACTCCCACAGGTTGCTCAAGATGCTTTCAGGGCTCCGTGATGCCAAAACTACTAAGCTGTCTTTTCATCGTGCTGCTATTTACAGTGATGCTGCTGAACTTTAGCCTCAGTGTAACTGCTTGGTTTTATAAGAAAGTATGAGCCTCACAGCCCCACCCCCCTAACTTCCTGAGTGTTTGTGGACATCTGGGGCAGAGCAGGGGTGGCTGGTTTATTTTAAAAAGCAGAACAGGCCCTCCCTGGTGGCACAGCGGGTTAAAGCACAGCACTGAGAAGTTAAAGCCGCTTCCACATGAGTTTGATTCCCGCCTGCCCCGGAGGTGACCACATGGCGTGGCAGACCTCTCCTGACGCCCACTGCTCCCCTCAGCAGTGTACTTCGTTGATCTGCCTGTTCTGCTCCCCATTGTCTATGGTGAAGCCTCTCGCTGCCCCTGGGCCTCTGGCCTGTACCCCAGTTCTGTATGCACAAATAAATTAATATCTTTAAAAAAAAAAAAAAGCAGGACAAGGCCCTCCCTGGGGGCACAAGAGGTTAAGTTTCAGCCCTCTGAAGCTATCCTCAGCCACTGCACCAAGAGTGGGACCGCCCCGCCCCCCCTCCAGGGAGGTGACCCACATGGCCTAGCAGACCTCTCCTGTCCTGTCCACTGCTTCTGTCAGCAGTGTATTTCAGTACATCAGCCTGTTCCCTACTGTCTCTGGTGAATTCTCCCTGCCCCCCCTCCTCTGGCTTACTTCTCATCTGTTGTGTGCACATATAAATAAATCTTTAAAGATAAGTAACAGAACAGGTGGGCTGCTCTCACCTGTGCCCCTGGGCTTGGGGTTTTTTCACTATCAGTCACCTTTTGAAACTCCTCCCAGGCCAGGTAGACAGCTCCTGCAGTTCACAAAGATGATGACTCACAGGGACACTCCTTCCTTCAGAGCAGTGACTGTTATTGCTGATTTTTCTTCTCAAGTTACTGTTCTCAGCTTTTGCGCCAGCAGCCTGCTATCTAAACCCTATCAGGAAAGAGAAACCAGGAAACCAAAACCAAAACCAAAACCAAAGGGAACAAGGAAACTTGAAGCTAATGGATGTTTATTACTTTGTGATGATAGTTTTACAAAATGTACACATTTATCAAATTGAATAAATTAAATATGAGCAGTTTTGGTATATCAATTATACCTTAATAAACCTATTAAAACTTTAAAACATAGGGCCCTCCCTGGTGGCACAACAGGTTAAAGTGCAACACTATGAAGCTAGCAGCAGCCACTTCAGGATGAATTCGATCCCCGGCCAAGGAGGTGACCCACATGATGTGGCAGACCTCTGCTGACCCACCTGCTGCTCCCCTTAGCAGTGTACATTGTCAGTCTGCCTGTTCTGCTCCCCACTCCGTCTTTGATGAATCCTCTCACCACCCCAGTACCTCTGACCTGTACCCAGTTCTGTATGCATAAATAAATCTTTAAAAAAAAATTTTTTTTTAAAAATCTAAACCCAAAAAAATGAACATTCAATTTTCTGGGAAAAGGTCTTATGAATTTAATGGTGTCCTCAAGATAGACAAAACTGAGTCATGGAGTAGACAGGTACCAATAGGTTCAAGTTCCCAAGGATAAAGGTGGAGGCAGAAATGTAAGGGAGGGGCTCTCCTACCACTTCAGGGACAGACTGAACATCCTATAGAAGACTGACACTGCTCTGAGGTTACTAGACACTCCCTCTTCTATTAGGTGGTCAGTAATGCCCACTATTGACTTGCAGATGAGTTACTGCTTTGAGCCCACAGAATAATCCTATAGTAACAGTTGGCCACTGAGTACCTGATTTCTTTGTCAACAGTGCTCTGGACCAACAGCCCCGGAGTGCAGGCACATTTAGCCCTAGGGTGTACTTTTTGCCCAGCACATTTTTTCCCCCTTCTCTCATCCTCCTGGAATAAACAATTGAGTTTCCACATCTGACAACTGTGACTCTGATTTTACAATTTACTATATGTGGCATATGCTTTTTCTAATTCTATTTCAATTTCTCAAAGAGCAGTTCATGAACCCTCAGCTGATACGATGACCTTTCTATAGACTGCTATTGATAGTCTGAAGCAGTCAAACTATGATTATTTGATATGCAAAAGGTATGACAGGTATTATATGATAGGCAAAAGGTAACTCATAAACTGATAGTAATCTGAAGAAAACACACCCTCAGGTGATCATTCACCTTTGCACAAGTCAATATTTACTAACTTTTTCTTTTTTCATTGAGATATAATTGACAAATGACAGCAGTAACACTGTTTGTCTATGTGGTGAAATAATCATGATAAGTAGTTAATATCCATCACCATACATGATTATAAAATTTTTTTTCTTGTGATAAGAACTTTTAAGATTTACTCTTAGCAATTCAAACGTGCAGTGCAGAACGACTAGCCACAGTCACCATGCTGCCTATTACATTCCCATAGGTGATTTTTTTTTTTTT